TTGAAATCGGCAATGACTTAGTTGCCAACCTAATAGATTCCATTTAGACACCGCTGAACGACTAGTAGTCTTAGCTGAAACTGTTCCGGAAATAATTTGAGGCCTCCTTTGATGCACTAAATTCTTAAGGCACTACATCAAGATATACGATGAACTGAACACGAAGACCAACACTCCATCCAAGCTAGTGGAATTGGTCTTGCTACCTGAACAAACTGCCACATTGGTACAAGATTTTAACAAAAATGCCACAATAAGACACTAACAAGTCTTCAATTTCTTTAGGAAACGTTATTATGTTATATGCCCTTTTTCAAAGCATGTATATCATTGGCCATGGATTTGTTTGCGCAATCATTTGAAACATTTTCACATTGCCCTTGCTGTTTACCAAACTCTTTTAGGAAAGAACATACTCTATTTCAATTGATGTCCTTGTCGTCGTGTGACACACTCCAGGGTAATTTCCCGTCTAGAGTTTGCTCCATGGATCTGAAATGGCGACAATTTGGTGGGGTATGAGGTCTGGCGAAGAGGAAGCAGTAGAAACTCTGAACTTAATTCTTGCAAACTATGAGCATGGGGGGGGGCTTTTATGCTTTCTGAGACCGGATGGATCACGTCAAGTTGTAGAATTATGATTTCACCATTAAGTGAACTTGCTTGCTACTCTTTCAATTTCCGTTTTATTTTCGCAATTCATCCGGCTTACCGAAAATAAGGCTCAGGTGTAAAATTTTTCTTCCAATTGTAGCCATCCATCTGATGCGCAAAAAAGGTTTTACAATAGGTTAGCTCTGACTTAGCTTAGGTGATGAAATAGGTGTTTAATTAGATAAGCTTTGTTCTTTTCAAGCTATTGTAAGGAAAGAAATGCACGATTCTTTTCAGCCCCTAATTGTGCTATACTGGGAGAGTCGACAACAACCTAATCCCTATCCTATTTAATTTAATCTTGCGATTCACGTTTCATTTCACAAATGAGCTCCTGCTACAATTCTTCCATAATTAATTGAAGGTCTAATTCAATCAGAGATGCTTACACGTCATCATCATCAAAATTGCTAGATAGTTCTAATTTTGGAACACCATTTGAATTGATATTGCCCGATTTACTGTTTTAAAACCAAAAAAGGCATCAAATGGATGGAACAATTTGATCATAAATTGACGTAATGACTTACACAGACATTCAGACCCCGATGAAAGAAAAGCAGCCTTCAATATCTCGCATGTCCGCTGTCCTCTTTAAGGTCGAACATCTTAATTCTAAACACTGCCGAAGAATTCGACTGGCACGAACAAAAAAAAACTCGTGGAATCATTTCCTCCAGTGTCTTGAAGTAAACAGAATTCAAGCCTGCTCACTCCCAGGACTCACTTTTTATTAATCACATAGTTAACTAGTCTTAAGAAGTACAGTTGGTCGTCGATTTAACAGAAAATGCACCAATAGATATCAATCACGGGAAACACTGCGATACCAGTGCACATATTCAGTGAATATTGCGTTAATCAGCTTAAATTGTGGGCTGCACGATAGACTTACTTTCACGTAGTGCAGCCTGGGTAACGTACACTCGTTTGGCAAAAAAGGTCTTTAAACCCGCAGTTAATTCTGACTTCAAACTAACATGATCCAAGTATATGCAATACTCGACCACTTTCACAGTACTCAGCTTACTTTTTCTCCTATATTTGTGTCTGTCGTCTTGACATCTGTGAATCACTCTTCTATTCCCCCTCTCAACTTTTTGTGACTTTGATACTTCTCCCCTATGTGAAGCCCCAAATAAACAAAAGGGCTAATGATAACTATCATAAAGCCCGTCATCCGATATAAAATTTAAGACAATAATGTTGAAGAAACGCCTCCACCAGTCACTTAGAAATAAACCATGCATTAAAATAACTCCGGTCATAATCTAAACTTTCCTCAAAGGATGTCGATCTTCAAGTCAGATATTTATTTTATATAAACTGGTATCTACCAATCTCAGGAAGGAGATAATTAAGAACGAGAGTTGCTTGAACCCTTTAAGTAAACAGAACGCTAGGCCGCGCCAGGGTGTCTTAAAAGGTGATTCATATGCACTTAGATCACAAAGTTGTGCAAAGAGAACCTGCCTAATCTACGAAATGGAAAATATCAGATCGACGACATAAGTATAAGAGTGAAACTGTCCAAAGAATAAAAAAAAAGAAAAGGCGTCAGGCAAACTGCAGGAAATTGGAAACTACAGCAATAATACTACAATAAAAAGTAGAATTTAATCGAATATGCTAACAATGACAAATAATGCTTCTTCATAAATTTGGACCTTGCGGTTGACCGTCTAAATAACCATAAGTATGCTATTAAAATGAAATTATTGGAAAACTGACCCAAATATTCTTAATGAGGGTTAATGGACCACGTATAAAAGAAACTACTGAGCAATAACACGTGGTTTGATAAAATTATGCAAAATGAATGAGTTAAAGAGCATCCAACCTTTTTTTTAAAAAAAAGGCTTTTGACATGCACATCTTGAATAGAATTTTAACATAATCAGTGTCATTTATGAGGAACAAAATAAAATCAAGGTAACATTACCAAAAAAGGTTACAAAACTGGAAATAAAATTGCCCAAACAAAAGTTGACAATGATAGCATAATTCCCAAACCCTTTTAGACAATAGTAGTGAGATAAGCAAAGTGAAACCGTCAATATCAAATCAAGGACATGTTGCCTAAAGGCCAGAAAGTGGAATGAAATTCAAATGTGCACATTGTTGAATTGGTGGCCAACGTGCTGTCTCTGCTATGCCTCCCCCCCCCCTCTGGTGAGTAACCAGTGCTCGACATTGCAAACCAAATTCCAGCATGTTATCAAGAGACTATTCTCCTACACAACATTATAGACGGAAGCGATTGTGGAATTAATACCTACCCCCAAATAACTTTTGAACATGAGTATAATAGACACTTAAGAAGTAATTGAAGGAACCATACAACCTGGCCCGCATACGTTCACACTACTAGCAAATCAAATTTCACTTCTTAGCACAAAGCGATCAGGGGATAAGTGCGAAGAAACCTAAGAATACTACTATTGACCAGAAGGAGCAAATTACAGTGTGAAGCCTATAAAGCATCCGTACAACAAAAGGAAAACAATAGATCCAATTTTCTTTTCTACATCATCAGCTACATGTATAAAAGAATAAGACTGGAGATAATTTGATCTAAGCAGATAATAATTTGCACAAATATTGACGTAATTAAAACACACGCAAATTTATGATCAGACGCTCTGTCAAGTAACGGTGGAAAACACGAGACCACCGAAGAAATCACATTAACAAAATGTTAGGAAAAGTTAACAAAATAATCTCATTAGTGAAATTAATTTAGCCATTACACTTTAAGAAAAACTGTATAATGGAATAGACAGTTATAATTGTACCAACTATGAGTAATAAAAATAGGATAAAGGCATTATCATCTTACATATATTTTAACACAGCGAAGTTGTGGAAGGCGTCATCATCAAATTTTATAATCAAATCAATTATATGAATTCGACAGTACTGCATTATACAAGCATCGGGAAATCATTACAGAGGATCACTGCAAATATCCCTGCCAAGGAAGTTGTAAATGATTGAAAAGAGGCCCGTAAAGTAAGAATACCAGCCACAGAGGTGCTTATTGAGACAATAGCATAAAATGGTATGGGATATTTTGACCTACACGAAAGCATTAAGCACATATCAGAAGAAAAACCAATAAGGGAAGTGCTGTTACGAATGGGCCAGACCAAAGTCCAAATTTTCCTTTGAACTGATATGGCATATTTGGAAAGATAATTCTAAAGGAAACATGCTATGGGCCGTAAATGGCACCCGGTCTATAGTCATAAAAAGTAGAGAATGAAATTCAAATTTTAAGTAACGAAATCTGCGAAAAAATGACAATGCAAATTTACAATACATTGGACAAGTTAAAAAAAACAATTTGAATGTTTTAATTATAGACCACATTCAATTGCAATAAAAATAATTGATGCGCAACACAAAAGCAATAACAAATAAAACTTACTTGCTTTTTCCAAACCAGTTCCCCATGATGGTAACTACAGCGGGCCACCCAGATGATTGAAAGAATCCACAAATTATCTGAAAAAATAACACAAAAAAGTTATCAAAAAGAAGTAAAGAAACATACCTGAGAAAGAAAGAAAAACCATGGCGAATGTAAGTTGGCAAAATACGCTATGCCAAAATTAGCGGTGGTTATTCCAGAAAGAATACATCCAAACGTGAGAAATAATCTTAAATTCACTCTCTCTGCTACTTGTCCAAGGAAAAACATGCCCAAAGCATAGGAAAGAAGAAACGATAAGTCAAGATATCCTAACAAGGCATTGTAATCATTCGTATCAAACGGCTTCCACATACAAAATGTTGCATTTTCTGGAGTGATTGTTTTATTCTCTTTAAGAGCGATTTCAGTACAGTTTGGATGAAGAACAGATTTGACAACACTTATAGGCTTACGGGAAGCATGAAAAGTAGTGTAGATAAAAAGGGTAAAAATGAAAATAAAAGCGCGCCATCTACAATTACACAAAAATAGATTAATTAAAAGGTACAAATGACATTTCATGCATTATATCCTAATTTTACTTGGTTAGTGACAAATTTGGCTGCTGACAACACCGAACACCAACAGGCAGCTGGCCCATATCTTTGAGAATGATAATTAAGAAAGGCGGCTTTATAAGGGTCAACTAAGCCATTAAATTAATGAACAAATAAAATTTAAAAATAAACCAAAAGCCATTATTTAAATTAAAATTTAATAATATATTGCTTCTATATATCTTATAGTTTGTGTTTTTATTAAGCGCAAGTTTGTCTATATACAAAATCTTCAGGCGTAATATTATCTTGTTGATTTGTTTGGTATTTTCAGTTGGGTTTAGTTTCCATTAAAATTATATGTAAATGACTTATATCGAAATCTCATTTGTAATAACTAAGACTAATAATTTTATCAATTATTCTTAATTTAGAAATATGCCTAATTTTTCTGATATGCTGATATCAAAAATTTCCTCTCTTACCAAATCGAAGTAAGTTCTGTTGACTTTTCTTGTTTTCTATTTCTTCTCATCACTAATTTCATTGTTTATACTTCAGGAGGGAGTTTGATATAGTTCCTCATTTAGACGGTCCTGAACATGTTGCAGTCTTGGAAGCTGATGATGCTTTCGCTCTTTGTTCTTGCCTTTCTGATGAAGCACTTTGGCGTCCCACTTATCGGTCTGCGCTAAATTCTAAAGGATCTATTTCAATCGGTAATACTTTTGACTTGATTACTTTAATGTCTTTTTAGACGATTTAACGTTTCTTCCACTTTTCTCACCTTCCTGTTTAACGTTTTGGCATCAAAGGAAACAGAAGGTTTTAGATGATAATCTATCTCTCTCTGATGAGCTTGGATTTACAAGACTAATTCTTTCTAAGTTTCCTCGCTCTACTGAAACTTTGCAACATAGGTATTAGCGTTATCTTTATTCCCATTTACTTGCTTAGGCATTGGGTGTTGGAACGCCTTTCCGCAGACGAATTTAGGGCGCTTTTCGACAATGAGGTTACTTTTTGTGAATTGTTATGTGATAAGCACAGATGCAATTATATGGTTTGGCAACATCGACGATGGCTAATAGAAAAGCTTGGTATTTCTTCTGAAGTAATATTTTATTTCTTTTCCACGTTTCATGAAGTCTATTACTTTAAGTATTTTCATATATCGTTCATTTTCTCTAGCTTCTCCTATCGCAACTCAAAGGAATGGATGAATGGAATGCTCATCATCCACTTGATATAAGTGGCTGGAGTTATAGAGCCTTTTTGCTTCAACTTTGTAGAAAATTCCTACCCAAAGAGGATTTTGAACGGGTTCTCATTGGCGAAATTACGAGGTCACGGGTTGCGGTGGAGGAATCTCCTGAGATTGACGCTTTATGGTGGTTCAAGTATGTGTGTTTCATTCTTAACAAATTAATCTGTTTATCTGTAAAACAGCGCGCTTTTGATATGGTAGTAAGTATATTGACGTAATTCAAATTCGCATTCTAGTATTGTTAGGTATCTTGAATACTGCCTGACCTATTGTATTAGTAGACTTAGCACAGCTTCTATCTGATTCGTTTGTGACATGATCTTAATACGTGAAATTACCGAAGATAATCCAATACTCTCCCATCGCTTTTATAAGTTTAGATCCCTTACGTTTGCAGTAGTGTTCTCGTATCACACTAAAGCTTTTCCTATTCTACCACTTTTTGGAATCTGTTTTAACTGCATGAAGTTATGGAGCGAACCCAATAACTATGAACTTTGGCCATTTTGCCACGATCTTACTTTCCAACTGCCATTTTTGTAGTCAATAGCACATTATGTATTCGTTTTCCAGATATTTAAAATACGGATTTCATGCATTTGTTTCCTTCGTCTGGTAAAGGCCTCAATGTAGCCTAATTCATTATCAAGTCGATAAAATGAAAAAGTTGTATCGGAGTTTCCATTTTGATTAGAAGTCCTATAATTCCATCTTTTAATGGTGAGGGGTTAGAAAACATTTATTATTTATTAATTTACTTATATCAAATGGCAGGCTTTATAATTGTTATCATTAGCCCTTTAGTTGATTTCAGGCTTCACAGAGGGTGAGGAACGTCAAATCGAAAAAAGTCGAGAGGGGGGGGGGGAACAGAAGAATGTTTTAAAGATATAAAAGAGACAGACACAAAGGTAAAGAAAAAATTAAGATAAGTACTGTGGAATTGGTGAATTATGACATACAGTGGGGTCATGATAGCTTGAATTCAGAAGTCAACTGCCAGTTAATAGACTTTTTTTGTCGTATGAGTATACGTTGTCCATGGTGCACCATGTGGAGGTAGGTCTATCGCACACCCCGGGTTAGAAAACATAAATTTTGCAGGTGTTGGTCCCTAATCAGCTTTCCATGGATGCACAGGATGTGTGTTGGTAGCACTAAAGAATAGGCATTATTCGAGAGCTATTTCCTTTCTTTATGGTCTGCTTGATGTGTTTTCATTTAGTGAATCAGAGTCCCTCAAACATGTGCAAAACGAAGAAGCCTTTTGGTGAAAGACTAAAGAAATAGTTCTTCATTTACTCGTATGTTTAGTACTTTTATGAAAATGAGTGGCAGGTTTACTGAAAGTGTTATCAAACATATTTCATTGTTACAAAATCGTATTTTGAAACTTCTAAAAAGGTCTACATCTTACTTTCCCCCTGTTAATCCGATTAGTCAACATAGTGGTGGTCTTGCATTAGCTAAATGATGTTACTATAACACAATTTTCTAAGTAGATCCGGAACTGTGACCCTGCCTCGACATTATACGCTGGTCCTATTTTAGCAATTACGGATTGTAATTCGGACTTCCTTGTTTTTTTCCACAGAAAGCAGGTCGTTCAGCTCTTTCTGGAAAGTTTTAAAAATCTTCAAAAGTTGCAAGAGCTGGATCCTTCCATCCAAATTCGTCTAGATCTGAGAAATTTAACGGACAAGGAGCTTGAACGGGTCGACAGTATTGAAATTCCTATGCAATTCAATAAATCCTGGTCTTCCCTCCTTTATAAGCGCTATCTTCGATGGCTATCCCAAACCATTGACTCAGATGCATCCTGTACCTAAGAAAAAGCGCTTCAATCGGGCCATTCCTCAACTCCTAACTTGGCTGTGTTATTTAACTTAATACTCAATAGTTTATAGCCTATAAAATCTTATATACTTAAATAATGTAAGTAGTTGTGTATATTCGAATAAATTTGTATTGCATTATTTCTTGTCGCAAGTGGAGGTAGGTAGAACCTGGACAAATTTATTCTACTTTTATGCCGCCAACTATCTACTCAAACGTATTTCTTGTTATGCGTTTGTTTTTTGCTCTTTTTTTCTTTTGTGCGTGGATCTATTTTACCGCGGCTAAGTATTTTCCTTGGTATTCCTGAATAGGAAGAAATAGGATGAATAAACTTTCATTTAAATTGTGTTTAGTATAAGGAATTATGACATATGAAATATTGTTGGTTTCAATATGTGTGAGAGGCTTTGAAATTTCTTTAATAGAATCGCATTAATTGATCTCTCCGCCGAATAATATGTTAATTTACTCTTCAGGTTTTTGTGTTTTGATTGATTTAAGTAAATGCAATTATGCTGTGTTTCTTGCTTTTTTCAATGAAACTGGATTAGTGTCATCGTTTCTTTGTTACAGTGAATGCTAAAGTTCACAACGATGGCAATCAAGATAATGTTTTACTAATGACTAATGTTGCTCTGAATGTGTGTAATTTATTAACCGATATTATCTTACAACGATTTTCTACTGATTTTTGGTTGACTATCCTATTCCAGTATAAATCGGGTTTTGCTTAACCACTCCATGTCACCAACTTGTTGGCTCCAATACGTCCACAGCTTTAAATCAGAGAAGGGGTCTTATAACCTTACTCTATTGATGAAAATGGGTGGGGG